CTCTCCAATGACCCATTCCACCCTGTCCCACCCCCCTCCCCAGTCCCTCTCCACACCACTGTCCGTGTCCTTGGGTTGCGCATAAAATGCATCCTTTTGAAGTGTACAATTTAGTGTTTTGAGTATATTCATGAAGTTGTAACACCATTATCACTAATTCCAGAATGTTTTCATTACCCCAAAAGGAAACCCCATACTCATTAGCAGTCACTCCCTTTTCTCCTCCACGCAGCCCTGGCACACTCATCTACTCTCTGTGGATTTGCCTATTAGTCTGTACATTTTATGTAAATGGAATAATGCATTATGTGGTATTTTGTTTGACTTCTTTATCACTCAGCTTAACATTATCCTCATTATAGATTGTATCAGTATTTCCTTCTTTTTATGGCTGATTAATATTCCGTTGTTTGATGGGATACTCCTCAGCCCTAAGAAAAGACGAAACACTGCCGTCTGCGACAATGTGGATGGAGCCTGCGAATATCATGCTAAGTGAAATAAGTCAGGCAGAAAAAGCCAAGAACCATATGATTTCACTCACAGGTGGGATATAAAATTGAAACTCGTGGACACAAACAGCAGTGTGGTGGGCACCAGAGGAAAGGGGATGGGGGAGTGAAGAGGGCCTAATATATGGTGACAGATGATTTGACTTTGGGCGGTGGGCACACAGTGCAATATACAGACCTTGTACCATAGAAATCCACACCTGAAACCTATATGATCCTATTAACCAGTATCACCTCAATACATTTAATTTAAAAAATAATAAAAATAAGATTTGGACATCACCCATATGGTCAGAGCAGTCTCGTTCTTCAGTCTAATAAAAATAAGATTAGTTCGCGCACACACAAAGTTCCATTGTTTGTCTTTGCTATTCATTCATGACCTAATGGGCTTTGGGTTGTTTCCACATGACTTAATAGATTTTAAAAATACAATTTTTTATTTTGAGATAAATGCCAATTTACATGCTGGAATAAGTAGTAATGGAGATCCCACGTACTTTCCCCCCCGTTTTCCCCAATGGTAACATCTCCATCACTGCGGTACACCACCACAGCCAGAAGTGTAACCGAAACAGTACACTGGTCTTATACACAGTTCACCAGCTTCACATAGCATCACCTGTGGTTTATGCAGTGCCATTTTATCACGTGTAAACTTGTGTAATCACCACGATAGTCAAGGCACAGAACAACTTCACACGAAAAGGACCCATTGTGCTGCCCTTTTATAACAACACTCGGCCCCCTCCTCAGCCCATTCGGAACCCCTGTAAGCCACTGATTTGTTCACCATCTTACATTTTATACGTATACAATACACACACACATGTGAAACCATACAGAAGGTAACCTTTTGGGATTGAATTTGTATTCGGTGTATACACCCAAGCTATTGTATCAATAGTTTATTCCTTCTTATTGAGCAGTGTTCTGTTGTGCAAATGTACCACAGTTTGTTTAACCATTCACCTGTTGGAGGATTTTTGGATTATTTCCAGTGTGGGAACTATCATAAATAAAGGTGCTATGAGCACTTCTATTCATGTTTTTGTGTAAAACGTAAGTTTTTATCTCTATGATAAATGAGATAAATGCCCAACAATTGGTGGGGTTTGTATGATAATTACATGTTTAGTTTTATAAGAAGTAGCCAGGCGATTTTCCAGGGTAGCCATGCCATATTAGACTCCCATCAGGACTGAGTGACCCACTTTCTCCACATCTTTGCCAACGTTCCTTCTGGCCTCCATGGTTTCTAAGGAGAAATCCCTTGTCATCCCTGCTCTACTCTACAGGCCATGTGTCCTTGCTGACTACTTTCAAGATTTTTTTTAATTTTTTTTTTTTTTTGGTTTTTAATTTTGAGACGTTTGTGACGTGTCTTTGAATAGTTTCATTGGGTTCATTCTGTTTGGGGTTCACGCAGCTTCTTGCATCTATAGGTTTAAGCCATTGGCCCAAATCTGGTAAACTTTCAGACACTATTTAATATTTTTTAGCCATAATTTTTTGCTTCTCTTTCTGGGCACTCCAATGTCAAGAATGCTAAATCTTTCATTATTGTTCCAGAGGTCGCTAAGGCTACATTCATTTTTAAATTCCAGTCTATTTTTTTCTCCCTGTTGGTCAGATTAATTTCTACTTATCTTCAGTTCACAGATTCATTCCTCTGTCATCTCCATTCTGGTATGGAGCCCATTAGTGAGGTTTTTGTGTGTTTTTTTAATTCAGTTATTGTAATTTTCAGTTCTAGCATTTCCTTTTGGTCTTTTTTATATCTTTATTTTGCTGGGACTTTTTATTTCAATCACATTCATCTTTCTCCTTGATCCACTTTAATTATAGTGTCTTAAACTTCTTGCCAAATATCTTCAATGTGTCATCTTGAATAGAGCGGTGAAAGCAGGCATCCTTGTCTTCTTCCTGGTTTTAGAGGAAAAGCTTTGCCTTCACCCTCGAGTGGTGTTAGCTTTGGGTTTTTTATATACAGCATGCCTTTTCTTATGTTGTGGTAGTTTACTTCTATTCCTAGTTTATTGAGTGTTTTTATCATAAATGGTATTTAATTTTGTTATTTAACAAAATTTTCTGTATGTGTTGCACGGATTATCGAATGTTGAACCTTTCTTGCATTCCAGGAATCAATCCCACTTCGTCATGGAATAGAATCCTTTTAACGTGTGGTTGAATTAGGTGTGCTGATATTTTGTTGAGAACTTTTGCACCTATATTAATCAGGGAAATTGGTTTCTAGTTTTCTTTTCTTGTAGTGTCCTTATCTGGGTTTGGTATTGGGGCAATGCTGGCCTCGTCAGAATGAGTCAGGAAGTGTTTTTTCTCTCTGCAGTTTTTAAGAAAAGTTTGAGAAGAGTTGATGTTAATTCTTTAAATGGTAGAATTCACCAAAAAGTCATCTGGTCCTGGACTAAAGCAATGGTTTTTTAAAATTCTATTGTTTTCTACGTTAACTAGCATTTTTCTATGAGGAAGGCTTGTCCTCCATCAATTAGATGTCAACTATAGTTCTTCCCAAACAGGTTGGTATCACCTCCAATAAGTGAGGGTTTGGTTTTGTTTCCATTAAAAAGAACCCAAGCAGTATTTATTCAATGTTTTTCACAATTACAGTTCCTTTTGTTCAAACTGTCCCAAATTTGGCGAGTGGGAACCTTTCCAAGCTGACTCCTGTGTTCTACTGAGATATTCCCATTAAAGTACTTTCTTACTTCCAGACCATAAAAGACGTTTCTCACTCCGTTTGTTTTTCTTTTTTCCCCACCCCCAGCCCTGGATTCAGCCTTTTCTCCAAAGAGCATGCTGGATCAGGGATGGGCATGAGATGTGTCCCTGCCCCCCACCGACCAAGATGTGGCTCCCAGCCAGCTCCCCACCAGATATGCCACTATGCTCTGCCCCCAGACACCACAGGCATGCACGCCCGGCCCCAACTACATCTGAGTGTCCAGGCCTTGGCTAGACTGGTCCCAGGGTGGGAGCAGAAAGACCAAGAACCTATCCTATGGATGATAGGAGGCAGGGGTGTGTGTGAGCTGAGGCTCCATGCCCCCCGACTGCATGCTCCATTGTCCCATCACACTTCACTTAAAAACACAGATTCAGAGATAAAATTAAGAATTTCAAGATGGCAAAGACAAAACGTTAAAAGCCCAAGCACAGAGACCTTCTGAGCACAGGACCCTAAGCAACCACAGAGGCTTGTGCATTTCTCTCTATTCGTTTCTTACACAATTTTGTAATTTCTTTTCATATAAATCCCCAAAGCTCTTGTTGCTTCTAGGTGATTTATATTTGTGTCTGTTGTGAATAAAATTTTCCCATTATATTTGTTAAATGGCTAGTAAGGAGATATAGAAAAGTCATTTTGTACAGTTACTTTTTAAAAAAATATATATATATTTTTATTGATTTCAGAGAGAGGAAAGGAGAGGAGGAGAGAGAGAGAGAAACACCAATGATGAGAGTCATTGGTTGGCTGCCTCCTGCAGGCCCCCTGCTGGGGATCGAGCACACAACCCGGGCATGTGCCCTGACCGGGAATCAAACCCTGATCGCCTGGATCCTAGGTCGACGCTCAACCACTGAGCCACACCCAGCCGGGCAGTACAGTTACTTTTAGTGGCTATTTTAACATTTCATATCTCACTACTTTAGTGAAATTTAATAATAGTTTCAATATCAATTCTCTTAGGTTTTCTACATAGAAATATCACCTACAAATAATAGCTACCACTTGAGCATTTAGCATTGCTAGGTAGTGTTCTAAGTCATTTAATCCTTGAAGCATGTACTTTTATTACTATCCCATTCCACAGGTGAGGTATGTGAACATCAGAGACCTGCCCAAGGTCAAAGAGCTATAAGGTAAGTGGCAGAGTCAAAATTCAAAACCAAATTCAAGCCTTCTGGCTCAAGTTCATGTCCTCAACCACCAGACTATCACAGCTTTACATTAGATTAACTCCTTTCCCCCTCTGCCTTTATTTCCACTTGGAGTACCTTGGGTGAAACTTTCAGAATAGCACTAACTGTAGTGATAACAAACATCCTTCTATTGCTATTCCCACCCCCCATACACACGGGATGTCTCTAATTTTTCAAAGTATGACAATGATGTCTGTGGCTTCAAAGGCAAACCTTTTTAACATGAAAATATTAAAAAAATATATTTTCCTATGATAAAGAACCAAAAATCAAATTGGAAGAGGAATGGACCATGAAACTTTATTGATAAGGACTTCTGTCCCCAAGGTTTATTCTAATCATATTTATAGTGTAATGAAATAGCAATACTTTCTGGTTGAGAAAACAAACTCTGGCCATAGTGTTGATGGTGATTTAAGAGAAACATAAGCCTCTACCTAAGGCAAGAGTCCATATCTGAAGAATTCAACCAATAAGATAAATACAAAAAAGTCAGTTCAACACATTGCTTTCAAGATATGTAAGAAATCAAAAGAAGACTGCTTTAGTGGGAAGCTGATATGCACATTTTATTTAACAGGCATAATGTACAATGACTAAAAGAATTCTATATTCCTAGGAGAATTAAGAGGGTGCATATCTGGATTAGCACCTAGAAAGTATATAGAAAATAAAAAAAGGAAAAGAGGGATAAGCTTTCCATGAAAATTGTTTGGGCCCAAGTTTCTAAAAGCAGATTCTAAGAGCAAGTTCTCATTGGTATTTGATAGTAACTCATAACATTCCACATGAACTTGGTGATCAGCTGACTCACATCTTCAGTGCTTTGTGTCAATTTGATGAATCTTATATGTAAATTTAAGGATAAAAAAGTTTTATGGTTACCGTTTTATTCCAAAATCACTGCACTGCACATTTGTGGTACACTACTAGCAAGATATTGGGAAAGCAAAGGAAACTTTATTGCTTGTGTGATGTGACCTTGTTTGAGAATGATGCCCTGGGAATTCCTCACAATTTCATAGGCACACTGGTAATCTGTAGAAGTCACTGATGGGAAGGAGGATCATAAATGACATATTTAGGTTATGAAAGGTTCCATTATTATTAGGAAAAGTTCTGCACTGACGGTGGCTGCAAAGCCTCATTGAAAGAGATTGGTTAACATTAATACGGTGCATTTAATGCAGTCTTCTTTCGTTATATTACATTAAACCACCGGGAGAACTCCCTTGCTTGCCAACATAGATCAATGGTTCTTAACGGGGGGTAATTCTGTCCCGCCCCTTCCCCCCCAGCCCCGGTAACACTTGGCAATGTCTGAAGATGATTTTTCACAACTGTGGGGGGTGCTACTAGCATCTGGTGGGTATAGAGGTTAGGAGGTTAGGGATGTTGCAGCCCCACAACAAAAACCTCTCAGTCCCAAATGTCACTGAGGTTGAAAATCCCAAAAAGAGGTTTATATGACACATGTCTGGGTTGTCCATAAAGTCAAAAGTACACTATGGAGGCAAAAGGTACCACCTGCACTTCTCAGCTCTGAGGGTTCCCCATCAGCTCTCACCAGCAGAGTCCCGTTCACCCCTCAGTCCTTTGACCAGAGCAAGCTCTCCTTCACTTCAAATTGCTAATAAATATTTGCTGAATGGATAGAGGAAAGAGGTGTGAGAAGCATGGTTCAGTCTTCAATTGGCTATACTGAACAGTGACTTTATGTGACTTAAAGTTATCCTGAACCTCAATGGTGTCATAGTCCCTGACTTTACAGTACCTCAGAGTCAGGGTTACCATAATGTTAAAGATGGAGTTAACATTTAAGGAGAGTATGTCTAAACATTCACTTTAGTGGGGCAAACCAAGTAAAATGGCGTTAAAGGCAAACATTCAACATAACATTTTAAACTAAAGAAAGGAACACATGAAATGCCATGCACAGCACACACCATTCCTTTTTTTTTTTTTTACATATTTACAATTTTATATACTTATCAATATATCTTCTATCTTTACAATTATAAAATTATTTCAAATTATAGAATAGTGGTACCATTGAATTCCCTTAAAGATACACTTTGTAGCGTTCATTTGTTTTAACCCTTTAAGAGGCAATTATTTACCCAAATCTAAACCACACTGAATACCACAAGGAAGCACAAAGGATAATCGTGGAGAAAAAATAGATTTAAACAAATCTGCACACAAGCCTTAAATGAATCTATTTCAGTAACTCAAATAAATAGTACTTTATTATTTACTAAGCTTCCCCGGCCAGGAAAACAAAACAAAAACAATCCCCACAAACTGTACCTTTAAAAATGCTCTGACCCTTGTAAGCAATGAAGTTATAGTCTACATCTCAATCAGGGGACTGCGTGTAGTGACGGCTAGCTACACTTCAGGCTCAAATAAATACTCTCCAGGTACATTTTTCTCATCCTGCGTAGACTTGAGGTTGCAAGGGTGGAGGAAGTTTATCATTTTCAACATTTTCAGAGTCAATAGCTGCTAAAGGCTGATTTGGGGGCTTAATTTCAAGTGGACATTTCTCAACAATGTCTTGAACCTTTTTTGCAATTCCATCCGTCCAGTCTATTAGGTCTTTTTCAAGTTTCTTGGCTTCATTCATAATCCTTTCCTGTCGTTCATTCAATTGAGACAGGAGATCCAAATTCTTATACATTTGCTTAACACCTAAACAAGCATCAGGAGACCAATTCTCAGATTCTTGCTTTCTGGGAGAAGTCTGGCCAGACATGTATCGATCAAAGTCTTCCTGACTTAAATTCAAAGACTGCGCGTCTAACTTCTCAATAAAAGCCACAGCACAGCACTACAAAAAGAAAAGAATATTTATTATAGTCATATGGGGAAAGCTACAAATATTGGAGATTTTAAAAAATCCTTTTATTATGGAGAATTTGAAACTGAAGCAAAAGCAGAAAAAACAATCTAATGAACCACCCTGGAATTCAGCTTCAGAAATTACCAACTCATAGCCAATCATGTTTCCTTTACGCTCTCATCTGAAACAATACATTTCTTCCTTAAAAACACACACACACACACACACAATTAAATATAATTGCCAACTCCCATTGAACCTGTCAGAAATCCAGTTCTCTACTTAGGTTGTTCAAAGGTGCTAAGGTCTTGAACACAGTGAAATATCTGAGGAGGCACCTTCAGTATTTGTTCCATCCTGGCTGCTACAGAGCTTCCCATGGGTAAAAACTGAAAGATTCCTTGAAGTTGGAGGCTCTGCTTCCCTGCCATGTTGCAGGGCAGAGGAATCACTGTTGTGGTCAGCAGCTCCAGGGCCAAGTATTTGGAGGTATGCTCCCCAAACCATTCCGTTTTGGGGTCTTGCCAGCCCCACAAGGCCTACTTGGGCATGGCCAAATATTGGGTGTGTCCTCAGGGACTGGTGTCGCACACCCAGTCCTCAAAGAGATATTTTAAATATCTCTAATATTTTTAATATCTCAAACACCTAAGTTGTCACCTCTGTCACTTGACAGCCAAGAGTTGTGTGACCCTAGGAAAGTTACCTAGGCTCTGTGAGGTTTCTTAATGAGTAAAATGAGGGAAATCCCACCCAGATTTATTGTGAGAATTAAACACCATAACACCTGTAACATGCTTAGCTCATAGGTCTGTAGTAAGCAATGAATAAGTGGCAACAATTATTAGTATAGAAATGCTAGGACAAGCACTCAGTGAAACAGACATCTGTCAGGTACACTTTCTTCTGTTGATTAAATTTTTCTACAAGAAGCCTACACTATTTTCACACTAAAAAAACCTTTTTAAAAAAATCCTAACTGAAGGATATGTTTTCACTGATAGAAGAGGGGAGAGGAGAGAGAGAGAGAGAGAGACAGAAAGACTGATTGGTTGTCTTCCGTACATGCCCCAACATATCTGGGAACCCACAACCTAGATATGTGGCCTGAAAGGAATTGAACCCACAACCTTTTGGTGTATGGGAGGACATTCCAACAAACTGAACCACCAGGCCAGGGCTTAAAAAAGCTATTTTCACAAGAAAAATGTGCACCATAAACAAGGAAATAGACAGCTCTCAGAATTTCTTCTGAGAAACTCATTCATAGGATCCACATTATTACTCAGAAAAAAGCAAATCATCTCTTTAAGAAATAGCTAGCAAATCTATTACAATTGATTCACCTGATGAGAATATGCCATCTGACCCTTCCACATGTGTGTGTGGAACTGCTGAAGCCCTTTACTGGAGAGAGGAGGAATCTAAGACAACTGCAACATTTCTGGCTTAGGTGAATGAATATATAATACGCCACTAATAGAATTGTGCTAATTGATTCTAGGCAAGACAACACTGAAGTATATAGTGGACAGGTGACCCTTGAACAATGTGGGATAAGGGGCACTAATGGCCACAAAGTCAAAAATCCACTCATAAGTTTTGACTCCCAAACTTAACTAATAGCCTACTGTTGACTAGATGCCTTACCCATAACATAGTCAATAAACATATATTTTGTATGTTATATGTATTGTATATTGTATTCTTACACTAAACCAGAGGGGAAAATGTTATTAAAATCATAAGGAAAAAATAGTTACAGTATTTATTTTTTAAAATTCTGCATATAAGTGGACCCATGTAGTTCAAACCCATATTGTTAAAGGATCAACTGGATATAGAAAAGAAAAAAACATTTATTAGGAAGCAGTTTCAGTTTTGAACAAATTAAATCTGAGGCACAACAAATAGCTGGAAGTGGAGCTTAGCAAGAGGTCAAAACAGGTGACACAAGCCTGTGGGTCATCACTGTACAGGTGACCAGCGGAGACAGCCTAGGGTGAGAGATGCACAGAGGACAGAACCCCAGGGAGTGACGCAACTCAAGAGAAAGTAGAGGACACAAAATCTACAAAAAGACAAGAAGGGGTGGAATTGTGAAAGACAAGGGACATAAGAAGTTCCAAAGCAAAGGAGCCATTAAGAAGTAAGACGGAAACAGAGTTCTCCATGAGATTTGGCAACTGGCAGATTTTTTACTTTTGCTGAGCAGTTTCATTGCAGAAGTGAGAATAGAAGCTGACTCTGAGTCCGGCAAGAGCAAGATGAAGAAAGAAGGTGCAAACATAGGTAAGGCTGCAGGTCAAGGTGCCAGGAAGCTCAGAGTGTAGGTGAACCAACAGCCTCCAGTTTCAACAACAAGGGTCCTTCAAACACCTCCTGCTCTTGCTTCATTTCTCCTATTACCATGTCTCTCCCTCTCCACACTTCTCAGGATTTCCAGATCGTCTGATCCTCTCTAGAAAACAACTGACCCCAAAAGGCTCTCCTCTAGTACTCAAGTACATTTTTCATTTATGCAAAGAAATGGAGTGCTCCAAATAATGGAGCCAGCATCATTTTGAAAAAGCATTCCCAAGTTCCTCTACCTGCAAACCATACTCCCCGGTGCTGGCTCTACAGTAACGGGTGAGAAACAGTGGCTGAGGGTGATGCGTAACAAGGGCAGGCAGGTTTTGAGAAACCTAAAGCTTATACGCTTTTGGGAATCCACTTAAAGGGGGGGAAAAGACAAACACAAAATTAGGTACAAAACTGAAAGCATATGTAGGATATAAAAATAAATCACAATGCATTTCTGGAGGCCTGTAGATTCAAGTATCTGCTTTTTTAGACAATTTACCAGAAACAATTCCTTATGTACCCTGGCTTCTCTCCCTACCTGTTACCCTTTACAACTTCCAGCACAGGAAACAAAGCACATAAGGTGCTAAGGCTCAAATTCATTGGCTTGACAGTAAATCTAGACTCAGAAAACAAGCAGAAGTTTAGTGGTCAGTAAAAGTAAGTATTCAGCCTTATAACTTAGACATACATACTTCAGTGTTGTCTTGCCTAGAATCAGTTAGCACTGTAGCAAAACAATAGTTGAAAATCATTTTGCATTCTCTAAACTGACGTTTTCTTAAAATAGCTCAGTATTCAAGTCTAAGAGGTAAGGTGTAGAAATAAAACAAAAAATAAATCTTAAGTCTTTTAATAAAGGAATCAAAGTCCAGGATCTGACTTATTCATAGTTGAAACAACCCCCCTAAGTGAATGGCTCTTATACCCAGGGCCCTGGGCAGTGATGGACAACAGCAGAGACTCCTCAATGTGACTATCATATTCCCATACGAGCACCATAGTCTCGTCAAATATTGGGAGGTGGGTGTTTGCATGGCCTGGTCACATGTGCTCTGTGACACTAAGCAAACATCTGCAGTTATGCTGACTCCTCAACTCAGGAGCATTAACCTGTCACAGGCCTATAAGTGACCCATCATATCCTTAAAATAAATACCTTCATGGGTCTTCTTTGTAACACTAAGAATTCAAATACTCACCAGATTGGTGAAATAGTAGCCATCCTCTCCAGTCATCAATCGGCTTGGGTTGCAGAAGCGGGTGATATACTGAATATTAGACTGAAGGCGTGGGGGGTTACCCTTCAAAACAATGTAGATGAGAGTGGGTAAGAAGTCATCGGCTGAAGCTGGCTCATTCTTGGTGATCTTGATGGCATTGAAGATGTGCTTGCTGCACTTGGTGATGCAAGCCAACTTATCTCTGGGCACACGCTTCGAGTCCATTTCAATAATATCTATAAAACAGAAAAGGCACTGCTTCCAGTTGAGAAAATAATTACATAAAAGAAGCATTAGGATAACCACTTTTCCCTATTATGTTGCAGAGGTAACCTTGCTAACCCTATCTCCACCAGTTAACTTAGTGAATAAAAAACTTAGATGAGCCCGGCTGGCGTGTCTCAGCAGTTGAGCTTGGGTCTATAATCGAGATCTCAGTTCGATTCCTGGTCAGGGCAAATGCCCGGGTTGTGGGCCCGATCCCCAGCAGGGGGCAAGCAGGAGGCAGCTGATCAATGACTCATCGTTGATGTTTCTATCTCTCTCTCCCTTCCTCTCTCTGAAATCAATAAAGACATATTACAAAGACCAACAAACAAAACTTAGATGGCACAAACAGTAAATACCAGCTCATACAGAACACTCGACCATGAGTCAAGCACTACACAGTATGCTCTACAAGCACATTTCTTTCCATCCTCAGATGAGGCAAGGGATACTATTATTAAGAGAACTGAAGTTCAGAGAAGTTTAATGATTTATCCAAGATCATACAGATAACAAGTAAAAGAGGGGGGATTAAAACCAAGTCTATCTGACTCTAAAGCCCATTCTTTTAATCATGATTTCAAACTACTTATGAGTTCCATGGAGAAGTAAGAGTCTTTTTACTGCTTCTTAATACACTGTAAAGCTCAGTTTAGGAATCCTCAATTTGCATACTGCATTTTAGCAATGTGGCTACTATACAAAGCATCTTTGTATTGGATATCAAAATACAGGTGCTGAAACCCATCACACAGAGGTCCACAGAGGCCAATCCTTACAGCAGGTAAATCTCCACGAGCTATGAAAATCTACAGAAACCATATGACACTTATAACCTGCTGGTTAGCAGAGGGTATCGATAAATCAAAGGTATAAATTTAATCTCATAAACATTTTATTTCTCAGAAAAAAATTATTTCACTGCCCTTCACTACTACTAAGTCCAACTTGTGGACTCATATATGCGCATACCCTTTGTCAGAGGACTAGGAGGTGGTGAGAAAAAGTTAGGTACAAACTTAGAACGATGCAAGCGAGGGGAGGGAGTGTGCCTTTGAATGCACATATATGTTTGCTATCTGGAATATCTATCACCAAGGAAAACAGTTGAGGCAGCTGAATTTGACAGCAATTCTTGACATGAGCAGGAATAAAAGTTTCAGATTTACGTGGCAGAGTGGTGCAGGCCAGAGTTCTTTTTGCTCCCAGCTCCTATCCCGGAGGTAAGATACCTTAGGGACCCTTACAGGACCACCAGCCATGTGTGGGGAACAGAAACAATGGACAGTGCAGAAGCCTTATTTTAACTTATTAATGCTTTTATTCCCTCTACTTATACACCTTTTTTGTGAATAGGTGTATTTTTGTAATAGATGCATTTTGCGATGTTTTGAGAAACCTCAATGTGAGAAACATCAATCGGCTGCCTCCAACCAGGGATCGAGCCACAACCTGGACATGTGCCCTGACTGGGAATCGAACCGGCAACCGATGCTCAACCAACTGAGCCACACCAGCCAGGGCTATTCTCTATTTTAAACATTTAACTATTTTCTCATTAATCTTTATTGTTTATGTTTTAAAGTAAATAAAAAATGAATTATCTTTTATCCGGATGCGTATGTAGCTGCCACTGCCAAGGGGCAGCGCCAGGAGTGTAAAGAAGAAGAGAACAGAAGAGGAAAGAAACAAAACCCAAGGGCTTCCTCCCACACTTCACCCTGCAGCAAGCCCTCCACCCGCTTCCTGAGCATCCTTCAGCCTGAAGGAAATTTTTCTGTTGGGCTCCTTTGGACCCCCACACCCCAACATGCATTCCACCATCTGCACTGCCCTAAAGTCTAAACTAGGAGATCGGGAGGAAAAACAAACAAAACAGGAAACTCATCCTTGTGTCAGCTGTTCATCTAGTGATGATTTCCCTCCCCAACCTGCCTGCTACTATTTCCTTTTCAGAGCTCTCAAATGATTGCTTTGGGTCTCTGTCTCCGGCTTTCACTTCTCATCAGTACAAAGACAGGGTTGAGTGTGGCTACTCTATGGTAGCGAATGTCTAGACTAATCGTTAATGGAGTTCTGAAACAAAGTATAGTCTGTACTTCTAGGTTATGCTTGACATTTGGGCTGGAAAATTCTGTGTTTGGGGACTGTCCTGTGCATTGCAGGATGTTTAGTAGCATCCCTGGCCTCCAAGCACTAGATGCCAGATGTCAACTAAAATGGAAAATGCCTCATGCAATGTATTTATAAACAAAACCGATAGTGTTGATTACTAGCACATGGGATGACTTGGAGAAATTGAACTGATATCTCCATATTTAAGACCATTATTTTTTGAAAAGATGATTACTATAGACTGTCCTCTCTAAATGCTCCTATACTTAGGCTGACAATTTTAGATGAGGAAGAAAGTGACCATATAACCTTTGGTTCTCCAAGAGGCAGAATATGTGTGCACTTGGATGGGAAAGACGTCAGGGCTAAAATGAAAAAGAGTAAGACGGTGTTTACAATTTTGTGGCTGAATTTTTACTATCAAAAGATCTCTTGAAACTCCATGAGGTTGCCTTGAGAGAAAAGTTTTTCCTCTCAAATTCTATTAACAAACTGTTGATGTATTGAAATCCTCTTTCTTAGTTCTACTTTTAAGTAAACAAGAGTTGAGCATAGTACTTGCAGTTTCTGGTTTTGCAAGGTCTGCCCTGTGGCTTTTCCGAAAAGAGTTCTCAACATAAATTCCTACGGAGTACTTTAAACATAAACCAGTTAGTCTCGAACTTGGTAAACGTCTAAAAGGTCTACATTCAGGCTTTTGAGAGGCTGTCACCTTCAATCTCTTACAATGTTCCTTAAGCAAAAAGTAGGGGTGGGGTTAGGCCTTGACCCTAAGGACTCAATTCACTGGATCTATGACATAGCCTAGCAGAAAAGCTTTGAACGACAAAGATGACGGTATTTAGCTATGCCAACTAGACTCTATGTGGGGAATTAAAGAGAACAATTAATTTAATAACAGGAGTTGAAATGCTGTTTGTGTGAGACCTGCCTCCCTTCTAACCCTCATAATAACTTAAGCAAACCCCTATTTCTTCCTGTTACTTGAGTGAGTCTCTGGTTCTAATAACCAAAGGTGCCTACTTGAAAGCCTGCCTCCAACACTGGGCTATCAGCTGCAGTTTCATTAACAATCCTCAGATGAGCCAGTCTTTCCACTCCTCTCCTTAATTAAGGAGCAGCTGGCCAAGGAGGGATGTCTTCTCCATTAGGAGTTTTTGTTTCTGTTTTTAAATGTTTGTGTTGCACTTCTGCTGGATTATTTCCATGCCTAAGAAACAGAAACCTTATTAGGTGCCTGGATCTATCCCAAATGGCAGAGCCACATCAATTTAGGGCACTCATATACTTCCTGAAGAAACCAGAAAAGTAATTCAAAGCATATCTCTGATTAACAGCCAATCAGAGGCATCATTTTAATATGTAACTCTAGTGTAGGGATTAACTTGCCTCACCAACTCCCTCCCTCTCTCCAAACTTACTTTGAATATATAAATGCAACTGAGTTTTAAGAAATTTAGCCTAGCTGCATTTGATCTTAGTTTAGTTCAATATCTAAGAAATGAGAGACCTGGATCAGGGAGAGTGAAGGGAAAAGTAGTTCACCTGCTAATCTGAATGCTTTCAATTCATAAAACTAACTAACACTCTTACAGATCACTTTTACCACATTCCAATATATCTTTGGCAGTCTGCATTTTAGAAATACTTTACTATCTTTTTTCTCACTGAAATAAGTATGGGTTTATAAAACATAATGTTAACTTCAAGGGAAAAACATCCAAATATAAAAGTTCTCAGTTTCACTGACCTGTGATTGCTTTCACCACCATGTCAGACACTTCTGGAATTTCTTCGTTAACAGGGACACAAAGCATCTGAGGTGTAACCCAGTGCAGGGCCCTATAAGAGAGAAAGTTAGTAAAAAAGTTAGAAGATCAGACTGTAGTCATTTATCTTGTCATTTCCATCAGTTATGGGAAAATAGGGGACACCACTGACTAATTGGGCAACTCTAGGCCCAAGCACATCCCCCTGCACAGATCAGGAGCTCAGCTGATGTGCCAAAGTAACTAGAATCCCAAAGTGAGGCTTCTCTTCTGCACCTATCAGAAGAAAAGCAGAAGACAATTTTACTGGTTGTAGTGAGATTATACTAAGTCTGGAAGCACTAGATATTTGAGAATGAGGACTTGAGAAGAACCTGCTGCTCACTGTCCACCATTAATGTCCTTGTAGGCTCTGCCCTCAACTTCTGAAGCCTACCAGAGCTTGTGTAAGAGGTCAACAAGCACGCGCCACCTCAGCCTGAATCACTGAGTCTCCCAGCACACCGTAACTCCACTCCAGAGACTCTGCTGCCTACGCTCACCACTTGCTTGACTAATGCTCTCACCCTGAATCTCAGTCCAAAGCCCATCTAGTTACTTCTGGTCTATCTTCCATCTTCCCAAGATCAACTTCTCACTTCTGGTGTAACATCAAAGAGCGCTGATCACCAATCACCAGCCCCACTGTCTGGGAACTCCATTGGAAATCCCTTGGCCCTCTCCTCCAGAAACACGTCGTGCTCAGTCTTCCCGCAGCTCCCGAGTTTGACAGCCTGTCCCTAAGTGTTTCCCTGCCACTGGCACGCAGAGCGCCGAGGCCCACTCTACCGGCCATGAAAGACTGGGTGCTCTGCAAAGTATTACCTACCCAGGGCTAGTGGGAAGATGTGACGGAAGAATGGCTGAATAATGAGCACCCCTGGTAGAGAGGAGGAAAAATTCATCGCCTTGATACGGATACTAGCAGCTTTCTACTGACAAGATAGTTAGTGCAATGAAATGAAAAAATAATGAAATTTCCTCCTTAGAAAACTTGGAGATTTTAAACAATCTAAAACATCAAAAATAGCTGTTGCCTAAAGCTGCTTGGAGTCAGATGGATAAGCAAGATGGTGACTTGAGCTCTTTCCTATCACTGTACCATATTCCTTTTCTAACACCCCAAAGAAGCTTACATGCTATAAGGATGGCAGGTACCTTAGCTGTTATTTGCTCTCAAGGTCTGAAATTCAAACGCCCTGTTTTCCCACATGTGTTCTTCCAACAGTTGGTAGTAAATACAGTAGTAAGTCAAGTCCCTCCTTGTTCAGTTTTGCTTTCCGCAGTTTCAGTTATCCACAGTCAACTGTGGTCTGAAAATACTAAGTGGAAAATTCCAGAAATAAGTACTTCATATGTTTTAAATTGCTGTTCTGAGTAGTGTAATGAAACCTCCCACCTGAGATGTGAATCACCCTTTGTCCAACATAGCCACACTGTGTACTCTACCTGTCCATTAGTCACTTAGTCTAGTCATTTAGTAGTTATCTCAGTTATCAGATTGACTGTCACGGTATCACAGTGCTTGTGTTCAAGTCACCCTTATTTTACTTAATAATGGCCCCAATGCATAAGAGTAGTGATGCTGGCAATTCAGAAATGCCAAAGAGAGGCCATAAAGTTCTTCCTTTAAGCGAAAAGGTAGAAGCTCTCAACTTAGTAAGATATACTGGGAGAAAGACCACATTCACATAACTTTTATTACAATACATTGTTACAATTGTTCTATTTTATTATTGTTACTCTCTTACTGTGCCTAATTTATAAATAAAACGTTATCACAGGTATATGTGTATAGGAGGAACAAGTATATATAGGGTTTGGTACTATCTGCAGTTTCAGTCATCCACTTGGGGGACTGAACAAATTCCCTGCAGATAAGGGAGGACTACTATACAACAAGACGAAGCAAAACAAACAACTACCTGATCCTCTTTTGAATAGCAAGATCTTTCTTCTCATCATCAGTGGTTTCTGGGCAGAACACATACTTATAGAGGCGAGTCATGATGTACTTTTCAATCTGATCCATTATCTTCTCAACTCTTTCTGGAGGCACTGAAATATCCAAATGGATATAAAAGCTCGAGATGAGGATGGACATTTAGAATTAAGAGTACTTTCTACGTAATACTTGCTAAAAAGACATTAAGCACACCCAAAAAGACAAGTATAAGATGTTACACTGAAATATATCTTTTTAAAAATTACCTTACCTTTGGGACTATCTTTTACAGAATCCCCACTTCTAACTTAAGCTGTTTTGGCAGGACCTAACCTAACAGGTGTTAGGTCTTCCTAACACCCAGTGGGAAAACTTAGCATGGGTCACTCTCTGTTGCTACATGAGAAAAGTGCTTTGAAATTCCCAAGACTGATGAATGCTGGCAAGACTCATCCATTCACTTTTCTGAGGTTTCCTATAAAACCTCAGACATGTCTCCAAAGTATATATATGGGGCGGATTTCTCAGATATACATGTATGCTAAGTACATCCTAAAATCTAACATCAATGGAAGTCAAATTCAAGAAGAATCCTAAAAACCAAAGCGCTAAATCTGTGGTTCTCAATATTTTCCTGCCCCAACCCATAAGAAATACATAATCATGAACAAATAACTCACCAAGGTGGTGATTCCAAAATGAGGGTTTCACTTAGAAGCCTCCCAAAGAGTTTTTTTAAAAAAAAAAATCTTTATTGATTTCAGAGAGAGGAAAGGAGAGGGAGAGACAGAGATAGAAACATCAATGATGAGAGAGTCATTGATCGAGCCCGCAACCCGGGCATGTGCCCCAACCGGGAATCAAACCCAATCGCTTGGATCCCAGGTCGATGCTCAACCGCTGAGCCACACCGCTGGCCCAAAGACTTTTAATAGACTCTGCCCCAACACCTAATGAAATTATTAAACAATGCTCAATAAATTATCCAATTGCTCTGATTATCTTAGAATAGTATACAAGACAGTATTCAAAGGCACTGCTAAGTGTGAGACCAGCTACCAAGATGTTGAAGTAGTTTATAGGATGGAGTGGGCACACCAGCCAGGCCTTCAAAGAAAGAGAGAAAATGCTAAGAGACTCAGCAGTCTGGCTGTGTGCAACTACCAGCAATCCCTCAATTTGGGCTGGCAAACAAAGTGTTACCTTTCCCACGGGCCTGCATCCTTTCAGCCACATTCTGGTAAAAATCCTGAGTGCATTCGGACTGTTCCTCAATGCTTAAATCCTGAAACAGGGAAAAAGAGGCTGCTTGGTAGCTGAAGAAAGATCTTAAATTTTATGAAGTCTCTAAAACCCACTCCCCTTAAACTGGTACTAATCTCACAAGTACTTACAAATTACATTAACTCTGCAGGGGAGAAAAGCCTATTCATAAATATTAATTACAACACCCCATGACCTCTCATTTCTTTTTACTGAATATACATATTCTTAAATGGGTATAATGCATATTTTGATAGTTTACAAATTCATGTACATTTCTATTTATCTAATCTACTTAACCATTTTTAATGGCTGTATTCCATTATATTAACCAATTTTTTTAACCATCCTCTACCACTGTTCATTTGGGTTCCTTCCCTTTTTTCACTATTATGTATTATAGCTATAAACAATTATGTGAAAACTTTCTTTTGGGTTCTTTGTGATACATTTTCAAAAGCGGCATTAATAGTTTCTACATATGAACAACTTTAGAGCTTTGAGTATCTATTACTAGATCCAGTCCTCAGAAACTGCATTGTACAGTTATCAGCCATGTACGTGTGGTTATTTCTCCATGGCCCCTACAACACTGAGCTTTATAACTTTTATTTGGTTTTACTGACTTTTAGGTGTAAATACATATATTTATGTCCCACTTTCTTCCAAAGAATATTTGAAGTCTACATAAAAGATACATACAGTTCAGCACAATAAACTAGGAGGTGATCAAAAAGAAAAACAAAACATGGAGAGAAACAGAAAGCAGAGCCAGGAGTGACAACACAAAAATGTATCCCTTCAGGATACAAAACTTAGCCAACAGTCAATCTATAAATTTGTCTCTAATTAAACTTTCTAACAATGATGACTGAGATGAAAATAGTTAATTGAGTCCAAAATATAAAAGCAACCTAATTCTTTAGGTGAAATTCCGACACCAAAATCAGAAACTTCTCCCAAGGGTTCTCATAAAGATGTCACTGGAGAAAGAAAAGTTCCACAGGACTGTTTCTCACAGGCTGCCTCTGCACAGGCCAGTGGCGACATACACCCAGGGCTGACAAAGCCTAAGTCCGGAAAGGATATCCTGCTGTCAGGGGCAATGACCAAACCTTGCCATATCTGCCTTTATGGTGTCTCTCCCTTCCATTCTTTCCTGGCTTGGGCCTTAATTATCTCTCACCAGTTTAGGGGCTCTCTCCACTTTCCATCCCTCTCACTTTTCAATCCATTTTTTACACACCACAGTCCAACTGATCATGTTAGATTATGATCTGGTCACACTGTGCCTCAAACCGCCAGTGGTTGTCTAGAAGTTGGACGTTGTCTTCAAAAGCTGTCCAAAAAAGTCCCCAATGGTTATCGCCTTTAAGGTTCGGTTCATACCTTACCTCCTCTAAGAAGTTGTCTCTCATTCCCTTAGTCAAAGAAACCTTGTAGGTCTCACAGCATTTACAGCACTCTGTCACCACCTTCACAACAGCTCTTGTTACTGTCCTAATTTGTTATTTATATAAGAGCCGTTTGGTTGAATTAGAATTGATCCTTTGTCTAGTACGGACTAGGTACTACCTTTAGTAAATTTTATACATTTTGTAATGTAAAGCTTTTATATATATTCCCCACAACTTCCCACTGTTTTCTTCCGCTTTACCTGACTTTAATTTTGCAATGCACAGATGTTTAAAAGTTAATAGCATTCAACATTTCACCTGGTTAAGAATGTTTGCTCCTCTTCATAGGTGAAGTAAATATCCTAATCTACTTTCCTCCAAGTTTTTTCATGTTTAGCTATTTTATTTGGCTTAGAATGTAAGGTGAATAGTTTGAGGCATGAGACCTTAAATAATCTGTATAGAAGCTTCCTGTCTTTTTCAGCAGCAATTAGTAAAAAGCAACCCTGTGCTCCTGTGTTTTCCAGCTGTCACATAATTTGCTTCTGAGGAGCTGAATCCATTTCTGGAATCTGGTTTATTTCACTCCTCTATATAGTATATATTTTTTAACATCAAAATCACATATAGTTGTGGAAGCTCAAATCTGTGAAGGTTAAATACTGTAATTTTTCCATTTGTTCTGCATTTTGATTCTGAAAAGAAAGCTGGCTCTGCCCATTTCTTATTAAAAAAAAAACCACACACATTAAAAAATCACATAAAGTTGTGATTATTTTCATTTTAGAATATATTTTGAAGTTTGTTAAACTTAGAAACCTACTCTCTCAAATCCTTGCATTCTCCCCTCCCGTCCCTTCCTCCCACCAAAGATTATATGGTCCATTTGCTCCCCTGTTTTTCTACAATAAAAAATGTAACATTGCGCCTGGCAGGGCATGGCTCAGCGGTTGAGCCTCGACCTAGGATCCAGGCGATCAGGGTTCGATTCCCGGTCAGGGCACATGCCCGGGTTGCGGGCTGCAGCCGATCAATGATGCTCTCATCATTGGTGTTTCTATCTCTCTCCCCCTCCTTTCCTCTCTCTGAAATCAATAAAGATATATTTAAAAAATAAAAAAAAGTAACATTGTAATTTAAATATTTTAAGTGTTCATATTAACCTACAAAGTACTTGTAAATTTATTTTTCTCACCTAGATCCAATACAGTTCTTACTCTTTCAATTAACTGAATAAACCTCTTTCTATATTGGGTTGTTATTAATAGTTAATCTTATTTACTGCTATTGTCTTTAAAATTGCTACTTTTAAAGAATGTGCTAGGCTTTTTATCACTGGAATGCTGTGTTGTAACTGAATTTTGTGGACTTTAGATTGCCATGTCCCCAAATTTATACTTCTATTAGTATTCTGTTTCCCCTTGGATTTTCTTGATAAGCTTTTTCCTGAATTACCAGGAAATTGTATTTCTATCTGTTTTAAAAACATTTATTACATGATTAGAATTGCCAGACTCTGTAAAAGCAATAATAAAATAAACAATTAATAAAATGCTCAGAGAGCATTCAGCTTAAATGGGAAGACAATGCAAATAAATATCTTCTTCTATGATAAATATAAGCCAGAAGGATAAAGTGTCTTGGGGCATAGAGTAAATCTCACTTCTTTTTCTTATTCCATCTATCTCCAGTGATCACCTCAAAACAGATAGGGTAGTAGCAGTGGTATTTTTGTTCCATACTAATACCCGTATGAGATAGTAGTGATGGTCATAAGGAAGGTTGTCTCCTTCATGCTCCATTGTGTGAACCCAAGTAGACCCATCTTTGCACAAAACTTGATCTCCAGACAAATATACCCATGAGCTAAACAACTGAGGTCCACTGAAAATATTTCTTCAAAGAACTAGTTTTAATATTATGCCTGGACTTCCATGTGGAGGGTCACGGCAGCAGCTGCGTGAAGAAAATGTCCATAAGAACATGTTTATACATTTTAAATATCAAATGATTCCTTTGTTCTCTTCTTATTTTAAATCACTTTATAAATCTAAAATCCTTCCAATAAGCAAACTAGATTTAAATAAACAAAAGAGGGACTACCATTATGGAATTTGTGAGATGAATATTTTTACCATTAAACCTATTAATCTAATTGTTTGGTGTTTTTTTTTAATATACTTTATTGGTTTCAGAGAGAGGAAAGGAGAGGGAGAGAGAGAGCTAGAAACATCAATGATGAGTCATTGATCGAGCCCACAGCCCGGGCATGTGCCCTGACCAGGAATCGAACCCCGATCACCTGGATCCTAGATCGACACTCAACCGCTGAGCTACGCCTGGCCGGGCTAATTGTATTTTTAATATGGGAGGCCTTACTTAACATTTGAACTGTGATATTTTAATCTTCCTTTATGATACTTTAATTTTACTTGTTATTCTTTTATTTATATACTTTCTGCAATTTTTATATGCTTTCTGCAACTTATTTATTCTTTTTATCTACTTAGGTGTGCTTACCTTTCATTTGCACCAAATCCTAACACTTAACTTAGAACAAACTACATTCATTCTTATGATTATCACTAGTACTTGTAACTAGAAATGCTGGGACCTCCTTTTAAAGGCCTAACTGGCCTGTTTCATTGGTGCCAATGGATCACCTATTCCACAGCTCCGTAAACACTGTAATTTTGTTATAATTCAGAAAATTCCTTTTTATATTTCTATCTGTATGCACAGATTCACACTTCATTACAGTGTTTATTTTATAATGTAGAATAATCCCCCCTGCCACTCTTTCCTTTTATCCTGCTTTAGATTCCTTGTAGGACTGACCACTGTGTAATATGATAAATCAGTTTGTTGCCTATTTCCTCCACTAGTATGTCAGCTCCACAAGGGCACTGTTTACCACCATATCCTCAGTGCCTGTAACAGAGCCAGGCATAGTGCTAGTGCTCAATACTAACTGAATGAAAGCAGGAAGGAATGTGGCCACTTATTATAGTCCTTCCCCTTATAATACTAGAAAGATGCTGGGAGACAATTCCACGTAGATCTCTTATATCTCCACACATCTTGTGAGGAGAGGCACTGACTGCCTTTGCTCTGTACTCTTTTCAAGGATAGCTGTATAGCCAACAGCCTTGAAACACAAGGACAGTCCCTCCCTCAAGTGAAAAAAAGGGTAAATTGTTTACTGTCCAATATGATGCTTCCCTCTGGGGCAAAGGCCAGGCAAACTCATGCCCATTATAAAAGATCCTTTTCTCTAACATAACTCACTGCGTTCACAGGCACTGCCCAGTGGGAACTGATACTCGGGGAATTGGTGCAAAAGCTGATATAGTCTGGTTTACAGCTGTTATAAACTGACCTTTTCGTCTGACCCAAGAGACTTGTCTTCTGCCAGCAGCCATAAAACTATGGCAAGCTAATTTGTTAACTTGAAAGTAGGGTAAATCTCAGATCCTTCACAGTTTTTGCCAAAGGGCTAAATGGTAGCAGATTTGTGTTGGTTAATTCTTTCAGGTTCTACACAATTCCAAAATGTTTTTTCATAGTTTTCTAAGAAAAAACACAATCTAACAGTATAAAGCAACCCTTAAGTATTCTCTAACCATTGCCTGGGATCACATCTTCTATAGTCTATATAAAGTCACTTTACTTTTTATCCTAAAAAATTTTTTTCTTTGTAGTTTAAAAAGCTTGACAAGTAGATATATTCCTTTGAATACTAATACTGAGAAGTTCTCTGTATACTTTCTTAATTGTCTGGCTGAAGTCGTTTTTTTTTCACCTCCAGTTTTGAAAATCTTTGACTGTTCTGTAATTATGTTTTCTGAGTATTTCATCTGGAATTCCCATCTACAGAAACTGGATCTCCATGATCATTTTCTGAATTCATTAAGTGTCTGCTATACTACTATTAACTCTTTTAATAAATTTAGATTTTAGCTTTGATGCCCATATTTTCTGTATTGCTGGTTTCTTTTGCCTTCAATAATTTTTAAGGAAAATAAACATATTAGGGTTTAATCCTCTTAAATACAGTTTTAAAATCAAACATGAACATTTAAAGTATATCAAGTATGCAGTCCTCATATTTAGAGTTAGTCTATCTTACTAGGGAATATACCTTGGGGTCATTAGTAGCTAATTGAATATAGATTTAAACATTTTTACATTTAGACAAGCATAACAGGGCAAAAGTAATTGAATTTTGTCAAATTCAATTACTGGCAAAATAAAGGTGGTAAGAACAATTACAGTACATAAGTTCATTTATATCTCTATGGAAAAGCCAATAGTTGATCATTTTGAGCAGCTAGATAGTTTCTAATTACAAGTGAATTCACATATGTTCTTCACAAAGGTCATCATAAGTTTTTTTTAGCCAAAAAAAAAAAGTGTAACTTCTTATTTTTCCTTCATTGAATGAAATGTGTTGTGGGCTAGGTATTCCAGTAACTCACAAGCTACAGTCAGGCACAGCCAGATAGCCAAAGATCAGAGTACAGTGTCCTGATGACACTGCATTCATTTAAAATACTTAACGTCACCAGAGTTTGAGCAGATACAGTGTCATTCGTGACACTCCACAGGTTAAGTAGCGTCCCACTGGCCTTTTTGGTAAAGATGTGAAGCTATTAAACATGTAGTCCTACATATCAATGAGCAGGCTCCCCAGTTAGAGTTCATTAATGCGATTGTGCAATTGTGTGTTTGGCCACTGTTCTTACAGCAGGAGTCTTATAGTTATTTTGTAATGATAAGAAGTTTAAAAAACTAAACCTTGTAAATTCTTCTTAGCTTCTTCTTCATACACCCTGCCTCCAACCCTCTGGCCATTTGTACAATGAAATTTAAATTCTTGCTAAGGTGACTTCTAAGAGAAAAATAGGTGATAACTGTATGTTCAACATGAATTGATTTTGCATTACTGATGTAGCTGCCTGTCTCATTTGCAACAGAAATATATTTTAAAAAGATAAAAATACAAAGGAAATGACATAAAACAAAAAAGAATATGAAAAAGGACTATAAGACAATACATATCTTAATGTTAAGTATCTAATAGGAGTAAGCAAAAAGAAAAAAAGGAAAAAATAAACCAGCTTCAGAAGGACATTAGCAAACAATAATGTCTATTGAACAGTAAAGCATTAAATTTCAATAATGCAGTGTTGTGTGAATAAAATTTTAGCCAAATTTCCCTTTGGGATGAGAAAACATTTTTTAAAAGTCTAAGTGCAGATAAAGTGCTTCCTTATTGATCAAGATAAAATGGCTGAAAAATTTTAAACATGATTCTGAAAATATGTATTTCATTTTCTAGATTTGACCTGTATGCAGAAAAGGTTGCTCACTACTGGCATACACTAGGATTGGAGAAAGCAGGAATAAAGTTTAAAAAAGTAATAAAAAAAAATGATGTATGCAAGAATGGTTCAGTGTTCTGAAACTCACAAATTTGGGGCAGAATTAAATTGTGGGGGACAGTGGGACGAATTATCAGTTAATGGCAATGTCATCAAGGCAGTTTCAAAACAGATAAGAATGTATTTTCATATTGACTAAATCATAAGAATAAGATGCCTAGAAAGTTTAATTGGTGAGAGTAACATAACCTCAGATTTTTTTAAGCAGTTTTGATAAATTGAGTACAGAAGGCACTTTGCACTGTGATATATTTCATTACCTCACAGGAACTATCCCAAGTTGTACCTGACCAAATTATTTCAAGAAATTTATATAATTAAATGATTTGAAGCTAGTTAGGTAAGGTTGCTTCATTCAGATGTAAAAATTATTTTATTTATTTGAAACACCATTAACTCACAGCTAAAGACAAAGAAAGGTTCTCCAGGGACATTCAGTTCAACAAATATCTGATCAGTATCAGGTATGTACCAGGTATCGTGCTAGATGCTGAGCATACATGCATAGGACTTGGCCACTTAACCATAAATCACTTAGTGTAGAAATGAAAAATAGGTTGCACAGTGGTTCTTAAACAAGGAGGACTCTGAGGCCGTATCCAGGTCTCTGATATCAATTAGTGATGACTTGAAAACAATTAAGTATGGCAATATCTATACCTGTTAATCACCTCTTTACTTTAGTATATCGATTCAAAAGTCAACTAAATTATTACAGAACGAGAGCACGTTACACATCTGAGCAAAACAAACACATCTGAGCTGAGCCATCTTTTAAAATATAGTATTATACACTGTACATGCTATGTGTACTATACAGTATACATGCCAATATAGTATAGATATCCTGTAGACATTTCATATGGGCTGAAGAATATATAACTACAAAACTTTCGTTTTTACTTCTGATAAAAAATGAAAGTTGTGTATCACATAAAATCTAAATTTTTTCATATTAAAGCAGTATATCACTGCTTCTAACTCAAAACGTCAGTGGTATCTTGCTTGCTCTATTTAACTCTGCCTCTATTTGCTTACAAACTCTTTCAGGGGGGGAAAGAGGCCTGCTCATTTATTCTCAGTGTAATTGTACACCAAAAAACAAGAAAGCAAGCTTATTTTGTCCTTTACTAAATGAATTCAATACTTAAATTCTAAGTTGAATGGGTGAGGTATGTTACAAACAAATTAATCGCTATTTACAAAATGAGTCCCTTTACAGGTAGTCTTACGAATTATTGTAACTAAGATTATCGATTAGAAATTACAGGTTAAACACAGGTAGAAGACACAAGTTCTAGTTCTGACATTGGCAGGATTTAGATGTGTAACCTTGGACAAGACACTTATCCTCTCTGGCTCTCAACTTCCCCATCTATAAAATAAAAGAACTAAAACCAGATAATCGCTAAGGTACTGTTCAACATCTAAATTCTAGCTTTCCCTTCTCTACCTTAGCAAGGAGAGAAAATTTAAAATTAAAATAAAAAACCCAAAAATACCCTAAAATGATTGCTACTGTTCTAACAATTGTTGTTACTTAAGAGTTCAAGGTCTACTAACTATGGCAGTGTATACTGTTTACTAGGTACAAGTTAGGAAGGCTTAGTACTAAAGTGTGCCATAATAGTGGCTTGGATGTCACACTTTCCATGCAAAGATGATCCAAACACCACTGAGCTGCAGTGGAAAANTTGGATGTCACACTTTCCATGCAAAGATGATCCAAACACCACTGAGCTGCAGTGGAAAAGTACTAGCCTGGGAGTCAGGTTTTAACTTCGTTTAGTGGCATTTCTTAGGTAATTTAGTATCTGTGGGTCTTGATTTTCTCAGGTGTAAAATGACAAAGTTGCACCAGATTATCTCTAAGACCCTCCCTAAAACCAAAGCTCTGTTTCTAAGTGGTTTTTCTCAACCTACCCTTTTGTAATGCATTGCTTCCAAAAACAGCTTGGTCTGCTTATAGATTTCTTGGCCTGTCTTGTGGAAGGTCTTGAGAAATTCTATGAACTCTTTAGACACTCTATCCGTTTCAATGCTGGTTTGCCGGTTTATGGAAGGACTGGGAGCTTTTGCTTCCTGAATTTCTGCTGGGAAAATTAAAAATAAGTTTCATTACATAGAAGAGCCATGCACGGAATTACTTTAAGTATCTAATTTAAGATTACTTAAATGATGCTTAATCAAAGTTAAACTTGAATTTAAATTATTTTATGTTTAAATATTTGGACTTTTCTTAAAGTAAGTTAAATCTACTTTATGAGAAGGAATACAAATAGAAAAGACTTCATGATCTAAAAGATATCCCTATTCAAATAAAAGTTGCTCTACTTGTATTTTCTTAGCCAAAATATATCATGCTTTGACCTACATATTTAATCATTAATACTAAAATGGCACCACTATCTTGAACAACTTTCTCAAAGGTTTGTATGAGTTTATAAAACAAATCAAGTGAAATAATCAGAAGTACAAAAATGTTAGGTGACATAAAATATTAGACAATTCTTCCAAATCCATTTTACTTGACGAAAAGGCAAAGGCTAATTTGTTTATGTGGATATTAACAATTATTTATCCACCATTCAGTTTTCAAGTCAGATTGCTCGAAGTGAAGGAATGCATTCAAAGTAGCATAATGTTAGATCATGACAGAGCATATAGTAAAGAGGCAAGGGAAGTAAAACACTGTCTAATCAGTTGGCCATACAACTCTTTCCCTCTTCAATAAATACACTAAAAGGAAAATGGGACCTTCACAGAACAGAGGTAAGGAGATGTAAGGGTAAGCACTCTCAGAAAGCATGACTATCACTTGGTCTCTTATCACATTCTAAGCCTCCTACTTTTGAACTGTGCTCTCTAATTCAATACCTATAAGGAATTAGGTACCTCATATACCCATGATTCCCTTTTAACCCAAAAAGAAAGATAACTAAGAAGAAAAAGTATCTTTTGAAGGTATTAAAATCAACCTATTACATGTTATCTCAGAGTAATTTCTTATTATCTTTATTTTTTGAACTTCAGTGCCTGATACACATTTTAATGA